CATCTCACAAGGACACAAAGGACGCAGTGTCCATTTACATACTGCAAAGAGGCTTTGTAAAACATCATGGCCAAGGATGTTCACAGATGTACTTCACTGCACTCCTCTGTTTAGACAGGAGACTACAAGTGAACTGGATGTCAGCATTACATACTGTATACACTGGTGGAGCCAAAGTCTAGCACCTGTATAACAATATCACAATAGGGTATTTGTTTCTTTTGCAATTTTACCTGAATCTGATTTTTTTTTCTCTGTCTAGAATCATAATCAAGGAATAAACACCAGTTGTACATACATACAGGTTGTATGTATGTACTCTGCACTATGTATTTGCTAGGTTTAAGGGGAAACTAGTTTTAAAGAGATGTACTAAGGGAAGCTAAAGTTCAGATCAAGGTTATAGAATAAGATCTCTTCATTTAAGCTGCGGACACTGCTTGAGGACATTTGATCTTTTTTTTAGGGGACTAGCCCAAAATACCTTTTCCTTTTCCCCCTCCTGCTCTGTCTCAACTGCCACATTGTGCGACATCCAGTGCCCCCTATTCTTGGTCAGCTATGTCACCCCTGACCCTTACTAATGCTCCTTGTCGACACACACGGAAAGGGACTTTTCCAATGGTGGTACGACACTTATTGCCCTCGGCAGCTTGCCCAGGAAGGTCACACTGCAAAGTGACACAGACAGCAAGGTCACTGTCAATGGAAGCTGTTCGCAGATCAGTGCTCATGCCCCAGACAGCCACTTCCTGGTTAGTGTATCCCAGAAGGGCTACACTGCCACCAGCAGTCACTTAGCACGTAACATCTTCAACAGACACAGGACTGAAATCCTTTGTGTTCCTTTTCCTTATCTCTTTTGCCAAGTGTTTCTCTTTTGTACATAAAAGAAACGGTAGCCATATTTCATGTTTAATTTTAGTCTGTTACTTTTAGTTATGCTGTTAGCTTAACTGCCTCAAATATAAATGCAAATTTAAAAAAAGAGCCACACACTGAAACATGCATATTCCCTTACTGTAAGAGTACTGTACTCAATGCGCTTTTGTTCATGTCACTTTCATAAGATATTGGTGAGTGCAGTAATTGTCCAGTTTATCCAAAGGCCTTCCCCCGAAGGTATTTCAGGAAAGAGCTGCCATTTCCTTTGTAAACTAATAAAGCTTCATTGGAGCTTCATCTAAAATAATATTTTTTTCTGTGAAAAGTACTCTATTTATTAAAACAGAATTCTTTACCCCCCTCCTTTCAGTCGACCATGATGAGTAAGCATATTCTATAAATGACCCAGCTGTTCGAGCATATTGTGTTTCGCCTCATCAGGGATTCAAAGGGGCTGACAACAGATCAGCCAAATCCGTTCACGGCTTGGTCTCCAGCTGACCAGACCTCCATTTAAAATAAGGTCTTTTGTTTGTCTCAGCCAGCTGGTGATGTATACGCTACAGATGTGTGGCTCATGATAGCTAGCATGAGTATGTTAATGTGTTTCTAAGTGACAGCAACAATTAAACACACATTAGTCTTTAAATTGAAAGTATGTGTGATATCAATGTGAAAAAAGTACTCCCATTACTAATAATATTGTCCAGACACTAGTGAAAAATGAAATCTTGTAGTTACCTATTAAATTAAGTTTGATTTTAATAAATAAATGACATTAAGAAAAGAAGACAAAAGCCTTGTTTCATTTACATCTTTGGACTCTTTCATTGACCAAGTTAGAATCTGATATTTACACAGTACATACACCCAACTGTATCCAAAGGTCATAAAGGAAAAAAAACTTAAATATGAAACCCAGTGTTTCAGTCTGTGATCATTGATTTTTCTTCCATGTCCTTAATGGACAGGCTAAAAATACGCTGTTCTGCTTCTGGGTACAGGCCTTGTTTTTGACAGAGCTCACTGTACATCTGTCCTCTAACAACAAATGATACATCATTTACTTTGAAGGAATGTGGTGTAACACTTTTTATGATGTACAAATTTTACATGATATACAAACTATTGCTATTCTAAGTAAATCATTTTCTTATACATTCTGGGACACATTAAAAACTAAAAGATCTTTATATGGCTGTGTAAAAATGCCACTGCGTTGCAGCTGATCTTTGAACTCCAGAATCATTTCAATCTCAGCTTAAATTTTAACGGCTTTAAATGCATATCAAGTATCACATTTGATTTCTGACATTTAGAGTTTCCTTTCAATAGATAGCCAAAAGGTAAAGTGGCATCTGCAAATGACATGATGACATGCAGTAAAGGGCCACAGGACTCAACCTTGGTACATTGGGCGGCAGCTCTACCAGGAAGCCCCGCCAACACTTTATCTTTCTGAAAAAATGTCTGTTCTGTTTCACTTGGCAATGCCTCACCAACATAATAGTTACCTTTACTTAGTTTATATTCACAATTCACAACAAACAAAGCAATGGATAGTCCATATATATCGCCTAAACTTTTGTCTTATTCCATATGCTGTGATTTGGAACAGTACAAGACTCCCCTAAAGCCAACCACAAGATGAGGTATGACATCTTTGGAAACGCTACAACAATAAGTGATATTCATGAAACATTGATATTAATGAATCCTTAATTGACAATGTTAAGTCTCTTCGTACTATTGGCAAAATAAAAACCCAGTACTAAAATATTAGGCCTGATTTGGAACTTCTATAACTGAAAGATATTTTGCTGATACCAAACCAAAAAGGCACACATGAATGCAAATGATTTATCATACTTGGAAGCAGGTGTGTCAGATTTCAGCTGCCTACTGGCGTGCATGCATACTGATTCAAACTCAGTTTCTGTGAGTAATAAATCAAAACCCTAGCACTTTTGCCATCAAAGTTGTTTCCTCTGATTTCTGCCCCATGTGAACATGCTGTCAACAGCACTGAATAATCACGAGACAGAGGAGAGCTCCTTCCCTCTGTTCCGTCCACACCGTGATTCAGTTGATTCATAATATCACTGAAAATGGAGGGCCTTGTCTTTGACTCCTTTCACATCAGAAATGGGAGAAAAACACATGCTGACTGCATACTGTATATCCCATTTTACACAGAGAGAAGGGGATTATACGAGCACATAGGAAAGCCTGTATACACTTACCTGGGCACACACACACACACACACACACACAGTATGCATGTCCACAGCATACATATAGCCTTCTTCCTTATAGACACAGATGTCTACAAGCACACACACCGTCTTGCACAACTGCACATATACAGTGCCTGAACCAAACCATTTACCAAATCCGAAAGGCTGAAAGAGGCAGACACAGCATTGCTAATTCAGAGTTAAAAGGAACTACAAGGAAGAGCAAAGTCCGTCTTAGTGCTTTCCTTTAACCATGCAACTCCATATTAGAGGCAATGCGTCAGTCGTACCATGGTTAACACTCAATAAAACATCAAAAGGGATGAAGCTCAGAGCTCTGGACAAATACACACCCACGCAGATACCAGATAGACTAAGAATCTCTCTTTCAGTCTTACATGCTCTCTTAAATGCGTATGTACATGCTAGTATTCACATTTAATATGTACATACTGGAAATGTAGCTCATTAGATTAAATGAATACAGGAGGCAGAGCAGATGAGAGGTTTGCATCTCTTTCAAGAGGAAGCAATTTCATACTACGCCTCTTGAATGCTAAATGTTATTTCAATAGAACATTTGTGCAGAACAGCTTCTTGAAATCAAGCTCTGTATGCAGGGGAACAATTGGAGATTCAAGCCACCAATAGCCAGTAAACGCCAGATGCACTGGAGCTGTCATCAACTTCCCATCAGACTCCACTTCCCCCCAGTGGATGTTCTACCAGAGGAGAGACACCTCTTTTGAAATTTTTATATCCAGAGGCAAAGGCATTTAATGGTCACTGTTTTGCATGTTACATGAGGAGGTGGCATTATAATGCCCTGCCCCAGACAAAGTTGGGCTTTAACGGCTTAGACAGTCTATTTATTATTCAATTATTTTAAATATTTCAGGGGACCAACAGGATGCTCATGCAATCATTAATATTTCAACCGCTGCCATACAAAAGGAGGTAGCCTTGCACTTGTATAGTATTGATCAAGAGGGCAGCATATTCACTCTTCCCCAAAAAGAACACAATAGTAGACCTTATCCTTTGTGTCTGTCAGTCTGTGCACTGCCTCCTAAAACAGTATTCATTTCCATCTTAAAAGGAACTTGGCAAGCGAGAGGTATAAATTACTGTATCATTATTTTCCCATTTGAGAGGAAGGGCAAGAAAAACAGAGATGAAGAGACACAGAAAGAGATCCATTGCTGGACCAGAATCACACCAACAAACTTATATATATACACACAGAAACTGAAGGTGAAGGTATAATGTAGGGCGTCTGAGATAGTATAATACTGGACACAATCAGTTCACTGCAAGCAGAGATAAAAGGGATAGGGCAGCCGTTAAAAAGCAGACAGGCACTCACCATTATGAATAAAATGTGGCTACTGTACAAAAGTAATTCCCTGCGCTCACAGATACTGGCTGTTGCAAAGACGAGGACAAACAGCCACCGCAATTATGCCCCGTCCACTAGCAGCCTCCCCTGGTGATAACCGCTATGTAGCAAGGAAGCAAAGAGATGAATTGCTTTGCAGACAGGCATCTCCCCCATCAACACACATGCACAAGTATGCAGATACACATAGATTATTCTCCGCAGAGGGGAGCAGCGATCCAACAGCTAAACAAAAAACTAAAAGAAAACAATCATACTCTCTGTGAGCCCTGGGACATTTTATTGTACCCTATTATTAAGACATTGATCCAACTTTACACTTTATGTTAAACAGGATAAATACAGTCTTGAACACCTTTTCCATCATCCTTTCTCTTTCCTACTTCACTGTATCTTTCACGCTGAGCTTTCCGGCTCCCTAATCTGCCCTATTCTGGAGGGTGCTATTAATGTACAAGAGCCCGTGGATGTGTCCTTACCTTGAAATACCATCCAGAAACATATAGTCCACAAGATAACCTGTCTGAAGCTCGGTGCTGCTCCACAACAAAGAAAAAGGGCAAAAATCCTCCAAGTCTCTCAGAATCAGAACCCAATTCAAAACCTTTTTCTGATTTTTTCTGAACTTACTTTTTGTAAACAGGATGTCCTTCATTGATTCTGTACATAATCCGTTCCCCTTGACTTCCCTGGCGCAAGAGAATTTCTTTTGGGTTGCCTTCCCCTGATATTCCACCTTGGCACAGTGAAATAGTGTTATGTATTCTACAGAAAAATGCGTGTGTGAGAGACTGAGTGAGAGAGAGAAAGAGGCACTGTAGGTCTCTTCTGGTGCGCACTACCAGCTCCACCGCAAGTGAATCCAGCCGGTCTTCACAGCTCCCCTCCTGCCTTCAGGAATGAAATTCAGCATCCGCTGTTCATCCCCACAACAAGGGGAGGGTTTCCCCCCCGGATGGAAACTTTCAGACACCTCTGCCAAAGCTATAAGAGGTGATAGTGGATGCCAGTGAGCCCTGATTATGGGTTATTTTCCTCGAAATTCTCCCTCCTCAATGGATTTTTTTCTCCCTTTCCTTCTCCAATTTGCCTGTTATGTAGCTCTCCCCTCTCCGGAATAGGGTCTCACAGAATGGATGCTGAGAAAGAAGCGGAATGAGGCGAGCCGCTTGTTCTCCAGCTCCGTCTCTCTCTCTCTCTCTCTCTCTCTCTCTCACCCTCCCTTGTACATGCCCCCTCCCTGCTTCTCACTGCACCTCCCCACCCTTTCGTTTTCTCTCTCCTCCTCTCCTTCCCTCTCATACACACACAGAGATGTGCACTTCTCTAGCTCTGGCTTTTCACAATTACTACTGTGCCATTGCCAGCCATGTCAGACAGAAAGGTTCACCGCCCATACTCCTCAGAGAAACAAATAATGCTTGATAAATATGTAAAGTTAAATAGATATGAAGAAAAGGAGCAGCAGCATGGAAAAGAGCACTGAGGCAAGAGGCAATCTAATCTCCTTTCTTCATCCTCGTTACCTGATTACCAGATATCTCTAGAGTTTACATTGCTTTGCAGCTCTCTTTTGTACTAACTTTTTCTGTTTAGTGGAGTCTGTTCAGTAGTTGATGCCGGCCAACTGTCAAGAGTGACTGAAGAGGAAGACGAAAATAGCAAGCAAGAGAGCAGCACACTGCAGAGAAACAAGGACAATACATGTGCAGCAGCAGCAGCCATACAATTATATAATTAGCCACCTAAACAAATTGCCAGAAATTCTGTTATCATTGTGTGTACATACACAGTGATTACTAGCCCAGAGGCGTAGCACAATAACAAACAATGTAAAGGACAATTAGAAACAAAATAAAATTCTGAAATTATTCTAGAAAAGCCTCCGACACAGTATCTCACCTCCGCACATGTATTTACCGAGAAACCATTCATGGCGTACTCAATTTGTCATGTACTGAGTGCTGCATTACAACAATACATGCTGTTTTCATACACCTACAGTGAATAACCAACATGACTATAGCCGGGCAATTACCCTGCTAAGCCTGGACTTCACGGTCCAAGTGAGGTTGCTTGTTTTTTATTTTGTTTGTCTGCAATGTGTAACTACACGTTTATCAATTAGAATCCCCCTCAGAATCCCAATTGAACCTGTCAGTCATGTATAACTGCAACAGGACAGAAATATATGTTGATTACATATTGGCTCCATTTGCACTTGATAAGAGGATGCTGACCTTGATATTATCAAGAGAAGGTTGCATCTCATCAGCACCTTGTCACCAAATGTTAGTGCCGCTGGCAGGGTCACTTTCCTACTATATTCCATCCATCAAGTACGTCTACCTTGAGGAGTCATGGCAACAATGTCATACTTTTTTAACAGAAAAAGTGCTGTTTTGGAACTAAACAACCATCTCACACCAGGGTAAAGTCCAGGAAGTCCATCATTTTTTTTCACTGTTTCCCTTTCCTCAAAAACTACAATTTTAAAGGGCAACACACACCAACAGCATACGATCTGCATCATCATCGCTTATCACATGTCACCATGTGAGAATAAGCCACTGTCAAGTTTCCCAACGTCAATGTGTGCCCACTTTTTTGCTACCCGAATTGCACATCTCAGCTACTTTACCTTGACTGCTTCAGGATCAATTGACACACTCATATTGATGCAATGCTTCTTGACGTGGCCAGTGTGTGTCACACTTCCATGTGTTTGTACAAAGGCTATAGCTGCTTCTCCTATAATAAAAATCAAAACCTGATTTGAATGGACCTCAGTTTGATTGTCAGATATACATATCAATTTAAGTCAGGGTGGTAGAGAGGGAAGAATGGAGGTGCTTTCAAATGTTAAATGTATTTCTTTTATGCAAGACTGTCAACATTGTAAATTTGTGTGAGTGTCCAATGACATAAGTAAGTGAATTTGTTACCCACTGTCATGGCTGACAGTTAATGGGGGAACTTAAAATGTTCCATCCAGTCAAAAGTCACCCTTAACTATGGACAACAGAGATTTGCATACTCAGATCTATGTTCACAGTCTATACTGCAAATCAGAAAAAATCCCCAAAAATCTATTGAAAAAATACATACAATACAAATACTTCTAAGACTTCCAGCATCCCTCAACTTTCATCACAAGTGTTTACTGTGAAAGGCAAGTGTCTAAACTAAAATGCCCCTCTCTCTCTTTCTCCCATTCTCCCTCTCATTCTCACTCACTCTCCCTCTGTGGTACAGCTTGCAGATAAGCCTGGGTAAGCCCTCTGGCTGAGGCACCAGCACGGCCCATCCTGAATCTCATTATCGAAGTAGCACAGTTTCCAACCAACTGTCCAGGGTCCAGGACCATGTTCCAAAACATCCAGCAACTACAACCCAGTTGCCGTGCCATTATCACTGCAACCTGACTTTTTTGGTAAACTTCTCAAAAAAGGCTACAAAAAGCTATATGAATGATGTGTCCATTTGTTTCTCCTTTTAAAACAACAGCAACAGCTAAATTAGGAATCTATGCAAACCTACATTTAATGATTTTTTTTAAATCAATAACCACAATATTTCCCTGACCTTACCTTAATCTTAAGTGTTATAATCACCAAACTTCAACTGTACCTCAACCATAATGAAGCTGCCATGCATTGATTTTAAATTGGCAATGACTAGCACAACTTATAATACATATATATGAAAATAGGGATGTCCCGATCAAGTTCTACTTGTATTTTCCTAGATAATACAGATGCACATTTCAGATACATTAATCTTATTAAAATCATTCCAATGTAAATGTTTGACAATTGAATAGCTCTGCATTACAGAAAAAAATGAAAAATAAAATAAATTAAGGAACGCTCACTGTAATATTTTTGTCCTTGTCGCTGTCTTGGGAGTTTCACTCTCCAGTGTCTGCTGCTTCGATGCAGCCTTGCCTAAGTAACCTGAATGCACTGAATTATGTTGAGTGAGTATTTCTGTCACCTGTACATCTTTTGCACAGATTACATTAATAAATTACTCTTACTGGCTTTCCACCAAGAAGGGTCAGGGTCAGCTCAGTAGATAGAAGAAAGAGACAGCAGAGAAAGACAGCGCAGAGCTGGAGAGTTTACATTGGTTGCTCTCTTGCGTTGCTGTGCATAAAGGCTTCGTGTATAGAAAAACTGTGCAACAGTTGGCGTAAAACAAAGGGTCAATATGGTCAATATAGCGGTATAGCGACGACAAAAATAAATTATTGTTAAATTGTTTTCACTGAGCAGAATTTTTGGCCCCAAATCCTAAAAGATTAACAGAAACCATATTGGGTGTCTCTAACAAATTACCATAGAAACCAATCATACTGCACAATTTAGCATTGCTGTGCTAAAAGGAGGTTCAGTGTCATTGAAACATATAGCCATAACAACCACCAGGGAGCTAACTGTCAGTTAGGCTTGAATAGGTTTAGTATATGAGCAGTTTTGGCCAGTGGATAGGGATGCTGGACAAAAATACTACAACAAATTAAAATATATATAGTAAAAGCAGTCTCCACAGCATATTAAGGCTTCATGTCCTACCCTAGAGGTAGGACATGAAGCCATGGTTATGGAAATGACAACTCCTGCTGACCTAACTGAGATAATAAACAAACTGACAGACAATGATAATAAAAATATTTATAAAGATGAAAGAACACTCTGAATAGCATATGCCTATTAAAACATGGTTTGAGGAACAAAGGTTCAAAAGTCACCAGACACCAATCACCTACCTTACTGAGGGCGGTAAAGGCAGCGAGGACAATCACAGATCATTCCTCTGTATCGCTCTCATTCTTTCTCCATCTTTTTTTAACAACAGACAAAAAAAGAAAAAGAAAAAAATATTTTTTTATATTAGACTTTAGACACATTGCATACTGTATAAATATGAATGTCAGTGTACAAACAATACCGAACTCAAGCAGACTACTTTATCTGTCATATGTGCAGTACGGACCTTTGGATTATTTCTAATCATCAGTAATATAAACTAGCCTTGCTCCAGTTTTTGTCCACTGCCTTTCTATACCTCTACCCCTCCATCTTGTTGTCATCATTCCTCCATCATTATTATCTCTAAAGGTCTGCAAGGTTATCAGAAAAAGCTGTTCACTGTTGCTATATTTTTGTTCTTTTTACAAATCGCACCTAAGCTATATCTTCACCTCAAGGATACAAACATTGTATAGCATTTATTTACTGAACTATAAAAAATAAAAACTGTTTTATCACGGACATATTATGGTTCTGCTAGCATGTCATTGCTGGTGTTAGCCCTTTAGCTCACTCGGTAGTAAGTTAGCTTCACTAAACTAAGCTAGGTTAGTTGACATTAACGTTGCGTCCCGTTGGAAAAATAAAGTAAACAAAGCGAAATACTGCTGGAAAAAGTCACTATTCAACATATTTAGTTGTGGCCATACATATACTAATTACTTACTGTGGGTACTGTGTACTTTATGTGGTACCTGTCATTCCTCTGTGCTAACAGTTTCAATGTATTTAACTCCTCTGTACGTCCTCACTTCTGTCGCTCAGCAACAGACAGGTGCTCCTTCATTTAGGAGAGCCAGCCATTGTAGGTTAGATTAGGTCTGTTTTTCCTTAACAGCGCCATTAAAGTCACAATATAGATTATTCTCAGATGCTCCTGTGGTTAAATGAACCTACTAGCTTTCATAAAGTAACGTTATAAATGATTTCCAGTCTGCGTTAAACAAGTGAAAGCTACATTAACAGCAGCCAGCAGAAGTAAATAGCATGCCTCCTACCGGATTGAAGAGTAGCTCCTTCTTACTGTACAGAAGCCTCAGTTGGACACACTTAGCCATTACCACCATGTTAGTCATTAACAGCTACACTGGTCCAGTCAGCAGATGGCGACAATGTGACAAAAAGCACTCAAGCTCAAGGTGACTAATGTGTGTGTTTGCATATCTGGTAAATACCCCGGTAAATAATTATAACCATCAATAACCAGAAGACTCTGGCTTTAACCTGTATGCTTTTTAAATTCTATACACCACATTAAGCCAATTTTTTACTCCTGAAGCAAAGTGAGGTGGTTTATTGCCACACACAGCTATGATTAGGCAGTCTGTGTTTTCTCAGCTTCCCAGGCTCTGAATACAGTGAGCT